ACAACATGAGTCACATATTGACATGTTGCTCTCTTAAGACTTATCATTGACATTCCAAAGCTGTATTTGGGTTCATATATTGTCAATATGTCACCTGGTGGATACAKTAAGTGACACACATATGARCAAAATGATTGACAGCYTTCWCCCTCAGCTGTTAACATTAACGTTGATCAATAACATTTATAGACCTCACTTAGTGCTTCTAAATTTAGCCTWTAAATTTAGCAAGTGCTAAACCACTAATACATTTTAAAATTAGCAAAAGCCCTTAAGCRCTAATGAGGAAATTAGTTCCCCTATTAGTGCTTTAGGGGAACTGTGCCCACCACTGCCTTTGGTGAACTTCAACGGCCATCCAGAGCAGTGATTGTCGGCTGGTGGTCCCTGAACCAAATCCAGGGCATAAGGTCTACAATTAATATTAAATRGACTTTATATAGACGGCACCATGTTGCTTGGACATGTTTTTTGGACACTTATTTGTACTTTTTGTTCTGCTTGTAAAAAWTTTTAAAAAACAACAAAATCCTCAAAAGACGACCACAACCAAAAACAACCCATATTATTCTCTTTTTAATGTTCATCTATATAGTCTATGAAACCTTACATACACTATGCTTGTCACGATTCCGGTTGAGTGTATAAACTGCTGTATGTTGTCTGACACTGCTGAGGTTCTTTGTGTTTCCACAAGCCAGTGACATGAGTGTCATGGTCTTTTAAGGCAAAATAATGAGAAAATTCTCAGGGACTAAATGTTGCCAAGACTTCTCACAGCTGAGCTGAAAGGATCAAATTTACATCACAGAACTCTTTTAAATACATTAATAAATAAAAAGAAAGGAATTTAAATAACAATAATGTTTCATGTATATTAATTTTTTTAGATGTAAAGACTTTGAGATTGGTGAGTTGACAGTTGTCAACGGTTGCGWTGTTTCTTTTTGTGTTGCTCTTAGTTTCATCGAGCATTTTTCTCCAATGTTGTCTAGAGGTTTCGAACAACCTCCATGTCCCACACACAGTGTTTACTTGAGTACACGGGCTGTTTTCTCACACCAAAATGTATTTTCTACGAGAGCAATTGCGTGACGCTGAAGAGAAAGAGAGTAGTCCGAGACAGATGCAGGGAGTGAAATATGGAAGTTGGGAGGAAGAAGAAAAAAGACATTTGGYTGGAGATTGGAGGAAAGGGCAGCTGCTGGAGGGGGAAGCCTGTCTTAAGCTTTTCTATGTATATTTCTTTTGCTTCAGATCTTCACCCATGTGCTACTCAGTGCATTTCCATCCACTTTACAAGGATTTGTGAATGTGYACATAACATCTATGATATTTATGTTGGACCAGTAGATGTCCTGACAGTAAAGATCAAGGATGCTGGAAGACAGTTTCCTGTTTTTTATCTGTTTGTTTGGCCTGMTCTCTCCCTTGTGTTGTCTTTGCTCCGCTAACGTCTGCGAGTTTTATTCCTGAACACAAGAGCACCCCCCCCCC